TGATTTGGCCAACGGAAAATGCGGAAAAACATAGTTGGCATAGTTTTCCCCCCTGCAATCGCTATCCCTCTCTCTCTCTCTCTCTCTCTACTCGTTTGGTCAAGATTTATGTGCGGTTAGTCCAATAAAATAATTGCCAGCGATTTTTTATGCAAATCGCTTTTCGCTCCTTGGCTGAGTCATGGCCAAAACAAACCGTCTATATGCATATATATGTTGGACTAAACTATTTTTACGATCTTCTGGATTCAAGTTGGGCTTTTATGGTCCAGCGTTTAGTTTTTATGGCGCCCGAGGCTTTGGGGTTAATTCGCTGGCGGGACTTATCGGCGATCCGTGGGCTTTGAAGAGGGTCAGCCCTGGGATTTGACATTGGCTTCAACACGAAAGCGAAAGACTCAGGCAACGAACTTGCTCTCGCCACTCGCCAAACGGCAAACACCAAACACCAAACACCGAACGAAAGACTCAGGCAGCGAACTTGTTCTGGCCCAGAGCGTTGGGAGCGTTTGAATGTGTCAAGTCTATTGCTTCCTGCCTTAATGGAAACTTTCACTGGCCGGCGATAATAAACATTAGCCGTCGTTTCATTAAACAAATTTCAGGAAATATATTTTTTTGTTATATATCTCTCTTTTTTGCACTCAATTGGAGTTTGGCCCTGGGGCGGGACTGGCAATTGGATTCGCGAACAATACGCCATCGATTATTTAACGATTATATGGTGCTATAGCATTTCTACCACTGCTTTCTTGCCTTTCTTTCTGGCTCTTTGTCTTGGCCTAGCAATTACTGTGCTGGCCAGCTTTGAAGGCCGCTTCTGCTTATCCTCCAGATAAATCAGACTTGGCTCTGAGCGGCCTTTTGTTGGCCTTATCACAAAAGCCAGGCTTTCATTGTTTTCTGCATTTTGGCACTGGACACAGTGGGTGTGTGTGTGGGGGGAATTACTCGCCGCTTAGTTGATGAACTGATATTCGGCACGTGCCGTTAATGAAGTCGGGCAAAAGGCAATCGCTTTAGAAAGCCAAGATCTTGTAAAGACTATCATATTTTGGATGTTTTCGGGAATTACAGCACCAATTAGATCGCTATCTGCGGGGTCTTTGTGTGGGCATCTCTTGACTTTTTATAACCCCATTCTGGTCGAACCATTTAGGCATTTAATTTATCGCTTCCCGCAGTTCAAATGCCTTTGTTATTGATATGATTTGGACCCATTTTTTACGGGTTTTATGGAGCGACATTTATGAGCGACTTTATGCGCAGCTGTCGCAGCCGCCGAGATCGAACGCAAAATGGCCAATTTTATGGCTCAATATCGGTGTGTTGGGCTAAGAAAATGGCTCGCATTAGTAGAGGTAAAAATATCAAATAAACAGTTGGCAATTTGACATCTTTTTTATATAGTTATTTTCGGCATATTGATGGTCGTTAATAGATAGAGGCAAATTGAAAAGAAATGTCAAATGCTTGAATGGGCCTCGAAGGGGGTTCGCGCTGGACGGCTCTTTAAAATGCAAAACGGCTGCCGAAGTTGGTAGAAGAGGCACAGACGAAACAATAAAAGTAACAACGAATATAATGGAACATAAAATTTATTAATTTTTATGGGCTTTATATACACTTTTTTTTTTGGATTTTTTTGAGCTGTTTTTGTTTGCTTCCCCGTTTGTTTCCATTTCTCACAACAAGTGCCAAATTTGGTCTGAGGTTCTTGACCACGAGCTCACGCACGTGCGACCCGTTCATATGTATTGGTGGTGGACAATCATATGTGTGCGTGCGTATCGGAGCGTATTTTGCATATTTTGTTCGATTTTAAATGAAGTCACGTTGCACTCGTAAACTTGATATTTATGTTTGTCATTATTTTTTATGCTTTCTGCTTGTTTTTCATATAAATATTACCTTTTTGTGTCTTGTTTTGGGAACCCAACTTCCCAGCTACATGTGTATTTCCACAGCAATGTCTTGTTTTCCGTGGCGGCGGCAGTGGTGGCGTTAAACAATAGTTAACAACTTTATTTGTGCACTTAACGCTCTTGGCCATTAAGAGCCAAGCAACTCCTCACGTTTCGGCTGCCATTCACTTGAGAAATGCCAAAGCAGCAACTTCAGTTTCAGTTGCACTTGCAGTTGCAATGTTGCTGCTTACAGGTTGCAGGTTGCTGTTTGCTGGGTTGGCTGCATCTGCGGCAGAAGCCGCCACCAGTCATCGCCATCGCCTGTCAGTCCACATAAAAGTCAGAGATGGCTATGAAAAATCACCAAAACGAATCGCTAAACAGCCGCAAAATGCACTCGAAACGGGGCATGCCGAATTCGAGTCGCGGAATATGAGAAAATCCACTGAAATTATCCAAGTTTTGCCGGTGAAAACGAAGCCTTTGTTTGCCTTTCGAGATGGCCAGCAGGTGGGAGTGCAGGGAAAGTCGGACGATGCGGGTTTTACAAATAAATATTAATAAATTATAAATTCACAGGAAACTAGAATCGAATTCATAAAACTACTAGACAAAGCTCATAAATAACTCTAATTTTTATAAGTGGCAAAATCAAACCCATTTATGGACACTTCCAAAAAAGAAAACATTCCTTAACCAAGCGAGTGACACCTCTCTTATGGAAATTGTTAAAACTTTGGCCCCTTTCAGCCATTAAATCATAATTATGGCCAAATAGTTTCCTTCTCAAGCAAATGTCACCCCTCCAAAAGCAATTGTAAAGCCAATTGACCCTTTCAATAATTATAACTACTCGTGGTTAGAGTACAAATCATGCTCGCAATGAAAATGAATCACATGACTGCTGCAGCTGCAGTCTCACAGCCCAACTAGACAGTAAACCCAATTCATCAACACTCCAAATGGGTCAAATCAATAAACAATAACATAAAATGTCCAAAGACTTCGCCACAAACTTGGGGCAAATAACTCAGAGACGAAAGCGGGACACTCTGGCCATTTGAACTCCCTTCCCCCAGCACATTTTATGCAAATTTTTATACGTACATAATGCCCATTTATCGACGCTGCCGTCAGAAGCGATTATTGACAACGGCATTTTAATGTTTAAGAAATAAACATAAATAAATAAAAATACTTTGGCGTGCCAGTCGGTGTAGGAAAAAATTGAAATTATAAGTACCTGAGCATAATTTCACCTCGGCCAAAAGAAATGTCCAAAAGAACAAAAAGTTCATAATTGAAATTCATGTTTGTGGTTCTGTTGGCTGTCACACAATTACCGTTTTTGCTGGTGGTTGTGTGGTTGTTGTGGTGGTGCCCCAAAGTCCAATCGAACCCACTTAAAGATTCCGCAAGGCTTCCACACACGACGCTCCACGCATTCTTATGAGGTCATTTGCGTGGGGAGCCCACTAAATGCGCCCTAGCTGCCGAACTAACTAAGACCCACTCCAGTCAGAAGCCAGAACATTTGCCAAGTGGAAAACTCGGTTCGTGGAAAACCACAGCTCTACACTAAGCTGTGGAAAATGGCAGCTCCAGACATTACTCATACGACCCGCAATGAAACACAAAAATCTATTAAAATTATCACACGCCATGTTGACCTCAGCGGCGAGCAAACATTACTCAAAAGCCCAAAAACCCGTGTGGGTCTCGCAAAAATCCATAGCCCGAAAAAAAAGAAAGAAAATAAAGCGACCGCAGCCAATAAAATGAAAAATGCTGGCGCAAAAATATTGCAGCTAAAATAATTTGCCACGCTCGTAAATTTTCAGCTCATAAAACAGAAACGAGGCAACATTTGTTGTCGGAGTTTCGAAGTTTCAAAGTTTCGAAGTTGTTTTGGGGGAGTGAGTCAGTGTCGGGCATTTCTCGAATTTGAGTCAGATTTTCGTTGGTCTCTGCTATTTTTTATGGCCAGCCTTCGCCGATCGACAGTCGGTTTGATATATGGGCCCTTGGCCCCATCATTTGCATGTGAAAAGCCTGGCTCGTTGCTGTATACAAAATTTCACTAATTTGCCAAATGATTATTATGTTTGACTAAACCACCATAAGTGTTGTCATAAATTAGCCATTCTCAGCTCTCTAAAAATTAGATAAAACAAAAGGCCATAAACTTTTAGCTAACAGAACAACTAAAAATAATCTTTCTTTTACTCCGACCCCAAGCCAAAGAAAGATCCATAAAATGTTAGTGTAAAGGAAGTAAACTTGATGTGTAAATCATCTCCAGAATTAGCAATTTGTAGGCCTCAACTCAGCAAACGAAAATAAAAAAAAACAATCTTAGCATAACAAAGGCCACAAATGTAGCGCGTTTCTATTTGTTCTCGTTTGCGCAGCTCGCGGAGAGATATTCAAATTCGACAAATACCCCACTCAAAACGAATGATTTAGACAACGAACTTGCATTCCCCTAAAAGCGCATGAGCATTAAGATCCCGACTCGGGCAATAAAAATAAAAATCAAAATCGAAATAAAAATAAAAATCAGACGACAAATCTACAAACAACAAATTTCGGTTCCGAGCAAAACGAAATTGAAGCGAAGAATGCAATAAAAATAAAGCCAGAGCCAGAGTTAGAGCCAGAGAAAAGAAATGAACGTAAAGATAAGACGCGAACGATTCGGAGAGGGGGTCTGTGGGATGTGGCACGAGGTTGCTCAAGTGGCAGCAGAAAGTGTTGCAGGGCGATAAAAGTTTAATCAAAATTTATGGCAGGGAAGCGGCGCAGATAGAGCTGGATGCCGGAGGAGAAGATGTGAAGGCTCGGAGCTCTGATTGCCCAATGGGCCATATACCACACGAATTACCTAGACTATCGGCTGTAGCTGCAGAAAGGGAAAAGTCTTTCAATTCCTTATATTAAATCAAGATATATATCTTTTAACAGCTATGCATAACAACACAATATCTCATATAATTAGCTTATCAGATAAGACACTTCCTGTACTTTTTTAAAGTGTATTTTCTCCCGTTGCTAACATTTTTTCTCTCTCTGTGTTTTCATCTTCTTTGGCAGTCCCCGGAACTGGACTATCGGCACGAGCTGATGGGACGTTTACATAAAATCGAGCCCGCCGATGTTGAGCTTGAGGTTCTGGCAGCCGCCGCAGCAGCAGCCAACAACAACAACAGTAGCAGCAGCAACAACAATAACCACAGCAGCAACAGCAGCAGCAACAACAGCAACGGCAGCCAAACACCCACCAGCAACAACAGCTTGGCAGCCGGAGGCCATCAGCAACATCAGTTCCACCACCACCTGCACCACCATCACTCCCATCAGCACCACCACCAGCACCATCATCTGCACCAGCACCATTCGCACAGCCTGCAAAGTGGCGAAAGTGGTGCATCGGAGGCGTGGCCCCACCTCACCGCCCCCTCGTACGCCAGCGATGTTGCACACGCGCAGCAGCAGCAGCAGCATCAACAGTCGCAGCAGCAGCAACTGCAGCCCGCCGGATCTCCGAATTCCAACTCAAATGGGGCCTACGGCTGTGCACCGCTCTACGACGGAGCGCCCTACGAGGTGGCACTCGGCTATGGCGGTGCGGTGGTTGCGTCAACGGGTGGTGCGACTTCCAGCGACAAGGAGTATCTATATGGTGGGTATATCGGGGGACCGCCAATGGGAATGGGAACTTTGATGGGCACACAAAATTACACGCATGGTGAAATCTCGCAAGTCAATAGCAAAGTAGAGAAAAACAAGCGATGGCAACGTGTTTGCGGCTCGGTGCCGAAATGTGAAATCTGAAACCGCCCAAAATAAGAGAGAAAAAACCCAGACAAGCGGGAGACCCATCTCAGAAAAGTGATTGAGGTCGCCACGAACTGGCAATGAGCTGTAGTTAAATTTTTGAAAAAATGCTAAGAACATTTTTGGTAAGATTTTTTAATAGTCAAAAAAAATATATTCAAAGTTTAAAGGTTTTTATTATACGAAGCTGATATTTTAGTTATTCAAGCTTCACTGTAGTAGCTCCCCTTCCCATCAATCAGTGAACCAAAGCCTATCAATAAACACCTTAACCCCAGACGAAAAGTTTCAATTCTGATTGTCTGCCCCCCCGCTAAATAGTGACTCTAAAAATAGTCAAACAAATGAGCAGCTGTTTAGAAATTTCATGCATATGCGAGATTTCATTGTGTACATTAATAATTCCCCATGCCGCGATTTGCATAATGTGTTAGCAGGCGATTATAAGGCGCTTTTCTATCTTCTTTTGATTGCACAGAAACCAAAAACAAAGAGGCTCTGTACGCCGATCCCCTGGACGATCCCTACCAGCGCCCCGTGCTCTGGGACGATATTACTACCTCAATCCAAAATATCGATCCGGAGAATGCGCTCATGCTGAGCAGCAGCGGTAGCAGCGGCAACAACAATGGCAGTAGCAACAGTGGCAATAGCAGTGGCAACGGCGGCGAACCTGCAACATCGCAACTGCCACAGGTCAAGATGGAGGCGATCGATGAGAGCCTGCTAGAGACTTTCTCGACCCCATTGCTCAGTCCCCTGGAGATAAAGACCGAGAAGCAGCAGCGACAACAGCAGCACCACCAGCATCAGCAACAGCAGCAGCAGCAACAGCAACACCAGCAGCAACATCAGCAGCAATACCAGCAGCAACACTATCAGCAACATTATCAACAGCAGCACTTGTACCAGCATCATCCCAGCCTGGCGCTGCCTGGCTTGCCACCCGCTGTCGAGGTGGTGGAGTTGCAACTGCAACAGCAACAGCAGCAGCAGCAGCAACAACAGCAGCAGCATCTGCAACACAGCAGCAGCAGTAGCAGCCCCAAGCTGGCGACCCCCGGCGACAGCAGCAGCAACACCTCCTCCTATCAGCAACAGTACGCATCTCAATTGGTCGCCGGATCGGGCGGCGGCTATCTCAACGGTAGCAGCAGCAACTCCTACGGCTACAGCTGGCACAGCAGTCAGGTGAGTGACGGGGGCTTGCCTTTGCAACATCTCAGATTGGCAACATACAGCTAGGAAAACACCCACAAATCAAAGTCTTTACTTTGTGAATGTAATCAAAAAGTCTAAAACTTTAATTTAAAAATAATAGAATTTATTATTAAGCCCACTCCATTTCCTCCTCTTTAATCTCCAGACCTTCCACACCAAATACCAAATACACCCGCCATCAGTCGCTGCCTCAGCCACCGCCTCTGTCACTGCCACGCCCACAGCTCAACTAGGTGCTCAACAGCAACAACAACAGCAGCAGCAGCAACAACAACTGCAGCAGCTGTGTCCTCCCGCGGCGCCCAGCACCCCCTCCGCCTCCTCCTCGTCCATCTCCTCTTCCTCCGCCTCCTCCGCCAGTCGCCATATGTTCGTGCCACCTTTGACCCCACCAAGCTCGGATCCCGGAAGTCCTGGCAGCTCGATGGTGGCAGCAGCAGCCGCTGCCGCCGCCCAACGACGCACCACCCCACCACCTCCGTATCAGCAAGGTCACGTGATGGGCTTACTCAACCCACCGCCTACGCTTCAACTTTTGGGTGGAGCAGTGACAGGCAGCAGCAGCAGTTGCACCACCACTCTGACCACCCTAACGCCCGCCAGTGCCATTCAGCAGCAACAGCAACAACAACCACAGCAGCAGCAGCAGGTGCAACAGCAACAGCCACCGCCTACCCCCCGCTCTTCGGGGGGCGGGAGGCGTGGCCGGCATTCGCACCACCAACCAGGAACGGCAGCCCACATCGCCAGTTTGATGAGCGTGCGAACGGTGCGGTACAATCGCCGGAATAATCCCGAGTTGGAGAAGCGACGCATCCACCACTGTGATTTTGTGGGTGAGTAGGCCTTCTTTCTTCGAGTTTTCCTTATGATTTTATAGAAGAAAACCTTTCTGTAGAAGCAGGGATAGTAAATAAGTAGTTAAAATAGGAAAAGTTTAGTGTTGAAAATTCCATCTCTGAAAGATCTCTCGAGATGCGCTTCCTCATCTCTCGTTGCTAGTCGCTGCATGCCCCTGTGTCATTTATCATTTGGCGCGCTTTGCGACACTTTTCGTAACAAAGTCACCTTCCGCCCCCTTTGGCACCCACTTTGGCCCAAGCAAAACTCCACTCCACGTGCGATCCTCATTGCGCATGCGTGCCGCGTTTTTCCAATCGGCATTTATTTATTCTCTATTTATCTATACATTTATTTATTATTTTTCAGTTTCTGTTTTCTGTTTCTGTTTTCTTGCTGGGCGACTGACAGTTCCCGCTGCCAAGTTTCTGGTGTCGCAGTCGCTGTTGTGGCGCTTTTTCAATTGCCTTCTTTGTAATTCTAATTAGCCAATTGCCATATTTATGTAAGAGTTGCGAGCCACCTTCCCTGGGCTTTTGTTACAGTTGCAAGTGATTTTTTTTCTGCTTATTTCTGTAGCCTGGTCAAATGCGTTTTCAATGTCAGAGGTGGGCGAGAGATCGTTGAGTCAGCAGTGATTGATAGTTATGATAGGCAGTGCTGAAAGAATTAGAAAAGGTATAGAATATTTCGAGATATAATATACTTCAGCCAGGAAAAGGTTTAATCATAATAACTCAATAGCATCTTACCATTATATATCAAATACTATAGGGAGATGATCTTAGAGGAACTCATTAGTCAATCGTATAAGTTCCCTTTCAACCAAGAATATCTTTGGCAATTAATCTTAATGAAACCTAACAGAACTTTTGCGATAAAGAATCTAATTTTAGCCTGGCTTTGAATCACTTCGAGATCTTCCAATAAAACAAACAAGCTTCCTTGGTGTTAGACTTTTTTCCATTACCCGCAGGTAGCTTAATCTCATCGAGATGAGATCACAACATCACCCGCAATCGGCACAGTAAGACCAACTCAAATACTATCCATTAGCTATCGATGGATCACTATTATAGCGGCCAAAAGCACTTAAGGCGACGCTGTCTGGCCCAATCTAAAAATCCAAACTCCAAGCCAGACGCATTCCGTCCGTGTCCCAATGTCGCTTGTTCGTAGCCGACTACGTGCGTTGCCACTAATAAATAATTGACAATTGTCTGACACGTTGGCCATGGCCATTTTGAGGCAACTCCGGCCGAAACGCTGTCCAAATGAAGTTATTATGCCATAAGCGCACGCATCAGACAGTGAGATATGTCTGGACTGGCGGAGTTCCTCCGATTCGGCAGTGCTTTTCGGTATCTCTAACTGTCTAACTGTCGACGATCGTTGCAAGTTGCAGGTTGCTGCTAGCTGGTTACCAGTTGCGAGTTGCCAGTTGCTGTTGCAAGTTGCTGACTGCCAGCAACATTCTTCACTGGCAGCGAGCCATTGTTTTTCGTGGCACGTTGCTTGGGCAGCTTTCAATTAGAGCCGTACGTGCGGGGATCCTCGGGAAATCCTTTTTTGGCAAAAGGGGCTCTTAATGCCGTCGCCGTAAAATGCCTCATAAATGTCACTCGCTCTGCAATGTTGCAAGTTGCTAGAAGGCAGGTTGCAGGTTGCAAGTGAATCTCGTGCAACTTTCACCCGCTAATTAAAGGCCCACGCCCATTGACCCACATTCTGGCAATGGCTCTTCTATCGCCATCCCAGATCCGAGGCTCCTCTAATGTGGTGTGCCGCTCATCTGATATGTTTTTCGGTGAACGCGAAGTGCACTCAGAAAACGTTATAGCCTTCCGATACTCAAGGCTATAAACAATTATTGGCAATAAATTCCGTTTAGTTGGTGTTTTCGAAAAGTCTTCTTAACGAAGATATCAAATAGTTTCAGGTTTCTAAGCGTCAAATAGTTTATAATGCTTTCTGAACATTTGTTAAGACATCAAAAAAGGAATTTTAAACTAATATTTTCCCTATATTTTGATTCCAGGTTGTTCCAAAGTCTACACGAAGAGCTCCCATCTGAAGGCCCATCAAAGGATACACACTGGTGAGTTTTCTCCTTTACCTAAATCAGCAAACTGGAAACCCAACCAATCACCCACTTGATGACCCTTAGTTGACCCCTGTCTCAGATTGGTCCACAGCGATCCTTCAGCTCGCATGTGGGCTGTGCACCACTGGAACAAAAAAGTGACCCAACTGCACCACTGAACCGCCGATGAGCCACCGGCAAACAGCTGCACTCGGCTTTCGGGACGTTGGGCAACCGTCGCCTTTTGATTAATTCGCGCGCTCATATTTGTAGTTGCCAGCACATAATTTGCCAAGGCTCAGAGAGCTTCCAGCGGCTTTTTTTGAGAGCCATCCACTGAGAAGAATTTCTATCTTAATCTTGAAGGATTTGCTTTGAAAGATTGATGATGATATTGATTTTTCATAACATAAAGCTCCCTTTTCTTCCTTTTGAGGATTCAAGAGTTATATTACTGACTTTTCTATAGCAGCTAATAAGTAAAATCTCCTTTAATTTATCTTTGAAATTATTTTCGGTGTGGAGTTCATTTTCAATTTCTGCTCCACGGAGGCAACCGCAGCGAAAATCGTGATTTGTACGGTTTGTTTTTGCGGCTCTGGCTTCGTTTTGTTTCGTTTTTCGTTTTTTATTTCGCTTTTTTGTCCGTTTTTGTGGTCAGTTGCAGTTGCAAGTTGGCAGTTGCAACATCAGCAATCGCCAATCGCCAACGCCATCAGCTGGGCGCACGTTTGGCCTGCATTTCCTCCTTGCTCGGATTACACTTGACGATCCGTGGCCGTTGCCCACCGATCACCGAGATCACCTGTCTTCGTTTTATGGGCCGCACGTTTAATGCCTCCACAAAAGAAGAGGCAAAAATAATACTAAAGTAGTAGTACTGAAAAAAGCGATGGCAGAATCCCATCTCTCCGTCGTTTTATTAATCGCACATGACCACCTGATTTATGCGCAACTTAAAGCGCTGCCTTAAAAACATTTTTATTATTATGATTTTTGTGCGCAGCGCTGATTTTCACTCAGCTGATAAAGTTAACGCCCCATCAACGAAAGGTCGGCCACTTTGGGTTAACCCCGGACTTCACTCTGGCTTCCCATGAGATCGCATAAAGTTCTCATTCCGATTTGGAGCATATCGTAACACCCAGCTTCAGGGCAACACGAATTCCGGGCGCGCGTTTATTGGATTTAAGCCGACTTTCGCAATTCCTCGAGTGGCAGGCTGAGATGCAGAAACGCTTTGCTACCGTCTGATGGCTGTCGGTTTGTTTGGCTTTCGAGTTAGTTAGCGTTCCGGCAAAGCCCAGCCCATTCCATTCATAGATTTCATTGATTTTCCCCCTCGGCATAGCCCCGAACATACACACTCGCACACACATTTTTCATGCCATTTTTGAGGCGCCACCAGGCTGTTGTCTCTGCTGATTAGCAACGCCGGTTTGAGATTTCGAGATTTTTCAAATGGAAAGAGGGGTGAAAAGTGGCGACGAGATTGAGAGATTTCCACTGCAAATATTTACCAATGTCATTCAGCTGTCCGCGGCAGTTTGTTGCCTAAGTCTTTCGTTTGCCAGAAGTGAAGAGGTCCATTAGCAAGGGAAAAACTGTTGGTCAAGTCTGCCAAGGCAATCGATTCTATGGGAGATTAATATCAATTCCTTTAAGAAAGTTTATTAAAGATTTCGAAATCAGTTACTTCTTTGTTGGTAATTTAACAATCAACCCTTTCCCCATCATCCATTCCGTCCACCCCCACTTCATCGCATCTTCAGCCCATCTAAAACCTCAAGGCTCGTAAATTTGTCATTTTTATTTGGGCTTTTTGTTTTTATCTGGCTGCGTCGATTAGAAAATCACTTGGTAACTAATCTTTATGCTGGCGACGAACGCATAAATTTGCCATATCTCAGAGCCAGTCTCTAGTTTGCAGTCCAGTGTCCGTGGCCTGGCCCTAGGACTCGGATTCGGGTTTTGGGACTCGGGCTGGAACTGGCTTATTTTGTACTGATTTGTTTGCTAATACGTTCGCGCTGCCATAAATTAGTTTGATTTTATGCCCAGCGACTGGAGGAGGTCTCCCATGGACCAGTATGGCCCAGCCTGGGGCTCTAGTCCGGAGTCCAATCCAGCCAATGGAGCCTGAATTTATTTATATTGCCGCCGTGGCCTTATCGGGGCTGTAAGTAAAATTATGAAGTAATTCCGCTGCGCTTATCGCATTGCGTTCATCGCACATTACAAAACAACATTTACATAACTTTTGTTTGTTTGCCAGTCGGTTTGTTTTGTTTTGTTTAGTTTTGTTTGCCGCTCTGTGGCTGTGTGGCTGTGTGGCTGCCGTGATCATTGCCAAATTAAGTTCCCACGGCCAGGGAGGTCTTTAATGTCCCATTCTGGGCCATATGACTCACCAGGTTGGCCATTTTCGAATACCGAAACAAAAATTCACCACGTGTCCATCTAAGCCCGCGATCCCCCCCGATTATGCTCGCATCTCGAGGCACTTAAGTTCATTAAAAGAGATCTAAATAAACCAATAAGTCACGCCACGAGTCGAGGGGCATTGGGTTTCTATCCGAAAATCCCCAGCAAAGTGTCAGCTGAGTGCCACTCGAGATCTCTTGGGTTCGAGGGCCCCCAAAATGTCCGAGGAAACCAAACAAAATTTGTGCGTTTGTTCGATGTACAAAATAATAAACAACAATCACAACTCCACTCGCTTTGATGTTGGCTGAGATCTCGAGATTGGGATGGGAGATGGTCTCAAGGGGCTAAGAAAGGGGAAAGTTGGGGAGAAAGATGTTGCAAATGTGCCTTAAAATCTCTAAAAATTAACTTAACTAGTCAAAGCGAACCTCTAACCCTCTCGGGTTGCTACCTTTCAGCACCGAAATCCCAATTCCGCAAACCCCCCCAAGCAAGCCAATTGGATTATGTCCATGGATAACCCATTCGACTCGCTCCACAAAGCTGCACAAAAAATGTCAAGTTCAGTCACAAATCTACAGCCGCAATAATTATTTCATTCAATTTCAATTTCAATTTGAACACGAATGTTTATGTTTATGTCGCACACGAATGTATGATTATTTCGAGGGTCTGGATTAGTCATAGAGCGGTGCCAATAGCAAAGAGTTTCGCTCACCGGCCGGTGGAATTTTTTCGAATGTCTGTTGGGCCGCTAACAAAAATGGTAATAGAAATCACAAAAACTACAAAGTACACAACAAGCCAACTTGTGTAACAAACTACAAGCTGCAGCTGCCGTTCTGTTGTTGTCATTTTGTTATGGCCAAAACAATGAAGTATCAATTATTTCTCAATTATTTCCACAATGTTTCGATGTAGCTTTGAGTTTTGAATGGGATATTGCAATTACCCCTTGAAAAACCATATACCTTAAAGATTTAACTAATCCTTACTCATTTGCTTTCTTCCAGGTGAGAAGCCATACACCTGCCAGTGGCCGGAGTGCGAGTGGAGATTCGCCAGGTCGGATGAGCTGACCAGACATTACCGGAAACACACGGGAGCCAAGCCCTTCAAATGCATCGTCTGCGAAAGGAGCTTCGCGAGAAGCGACCACCTGGCGCTCCACATGAAGCGCCATTTGCCGAAGAACAAATGAGCAAGGCCCAGGGTCATCATGAACCCAGCATCAAAATAAAAAAATAAGAAACAAAAACAAAAACTATACCACAATCCAAAGGACTTTAGCGTAGATAAAATGAATTCGTTTAGTTAAAAAGGTTAACTACTACATGGTACACACACTCTACTCTAGGAACAGCTAACCAATTGGGAGTGGGCATGCCACTCACTTAACTCAAAGTAGGCGAAGTAGGCTAAGTAAATGAAATTACCACCTGCTTGACGAACATCCTACAGTACCAACTACTAACCCGCACTCTAAGGCAAACAACAAACACCTTCAGCACCACAATCACAAATTGAACTAGGCTAATCTAGGATTAGGTTAAAGTGTATAAATTTATTTCGTTTGCATATAGGACATTAGATCTACGTAGATGTTTAATCAGATTTCGGAGCATAGGTGGGTTAAGTAGTCGTAGTCCCATGTATTCTATTTGTATATCACCCTCGTATGTATCTTAGTGTCGTAAACCGTTTCAAATCCACCAAAAAGTGCTGGCACAAAAACATCCAATAAAAATATATATGAAAAGCAAATCGAATTCGTGGCATTATTCCCTCTGCGTGGCATACTTGTTGGTCCAATTGCGGGCATTATCATCGTGCAGCTGGCGATAGTTCCTGTACAGGTGAGCGAAGTCTGCCTCCAATGGATCGTACGGATTGGGATCGGACAGCAGGGACATTATGGAGAGGAGCACCTTGGAAGCCGACAAGGCTGGCGACCACTCTGGGCCCAGAATGTCCACGCAAATGCGGCCCGAAAGTGCAATATTGCAATGAAAAATCCTGGTTAGGAATACAACATAAGGTGGATGGAATGGATAATTTTTGGGAAAGATCATTTCCAGCTTGAACCAGCCGCCCTCGTATGGGGTTTCCGGGGGACCAGGTATAGTAGCTATCCAGTGGAGCAGGTTATCATCAACCAGAGCAATGGTACATCCTTCTATCTCTTGCGACGCAAACTCAGCGATCTCTCGCTGCAGTCTGGATGCGCAAACGGCGGAAGGAACTGAGATCCCATTGCGCCGCCTGATCAGTTGAGTGTTATTAAAACGGTCGGGATTCACGTGCAAAATGATGTTGGCGTTTTCTCCAAATAATCCAGGAGCAATATATTCAGCTCCAACCGATCGGCTTAGACGGAATTGACTTGGCGTGAACACTGCTTCGGCACGAGATCTCCCGGTTGGCCCTAGGAATGGATTACTGCCTAGCATCCTGAGTCTTCTACTTCCTTGACGAGCTCTGTGCACTCGTGTTCCTGATGGTGCACCCTGGTGCAGAATCCGGTGAAGTCTAATTTCGGGTCGGGATGTGCGGGCTGTGTCTTCCTCGTGATCCCGAGTACCCTCACTTCGTCGTGCCGGCATTTTCTTGTAGAGAAAATATAAGTATTAAATAATATAAGTTAAGTAGACGAGTATGTTCCGAGAACTAACCGGAGTGAATGGATTGGTTTAAGTCGACTTGAAACTGAAATCCAGGCCTGCTTTTTGCCGAACATAAAAGTCATTGCAAGATTCCTTTATAGAAATTGTTTTAAGTCTTAATTTCAACGGCCTGCGACGTGACTGTACTTAGACTAAAAAGCTCATTCTATTAGCTATTCACGGCTTGATTTGTTTGTCACTTATTTATTGCAATCGGCCGGACTTTAAACAATTATTAACATTTCCCCCATACGTGCCTCGCAAGGCAAACACAAATCATTGAAAGTTTTCCCCATTCGCCGAGATCTGCTCGAAACTCTCCACACGCATCACAGAGGCAGTCATAAGTTTTCCTATCGACTAAAAAGACAATAATTTCATTTAGATGAGAATGTAAGCTCGATAAGTGTGACCCCAGGCCGAACGGAATGTCTTGGAACTCAATTGGGTTTTGTTGTACTCTGCGGACTCGCGATCATTATCAAAATATTTTGTACACGAAACAAACATGTCAAGCAAATGTCTTTGCCCCGTCCCCTACCCCACCACGCCACCAAGAAAGCAACCCAAAAATTGTTAAAAATAACAATAATAATTTCAATTGTCTGCCTGCATTTCGATTCGAGCGCGTCATGTTGTTTTGATTGGGGCGATGATAAAAATAATTTCGCTTTTGCCCCTTCGGAAGGGGTATTCGTTTATAGGGTAGAGTTCATAAGCTAAGCGATCTTTTCGAAGGGAACCTGTTTGCTTGGCTTATCATAAATTTACGAAACTTTTAGGGCAATTAATTAGGGGATTATATGATTTGTGTGGGGGCTGAGATGGAGATTGGAATTTCCTCAACTAAAAGTTTAAGTTTACAAACCAATTTTACAGAAGGCAATACTAGGGAAGTTATATTACTACACAGTAAGTAAGAATCTGATTTCTATAAGTTAAAAACCATATTTTCTCTGGGTGTATAGCCGATGTTTATGAGTACTCCATTATGCCCTTTACGTGGGCGTTGAGACATTGGCATGCCCCATTCATTCATCCCAGCATCTCTGCCAGCATCCACTGGCACATCCCCATCCACATCCACATCCATCCAGTGCCATTCCAGCACCACTCTTCAATTGCGGTGCGTTGCCGGCTGATTAATCATTTGGCGACTGACAGCTTAACTTTGCGGCCACAACGGGGCAACCCGCTTATTAAATTGGCTTAAGATCGCCGGATAAAGCTAAAGTACGTGTAGGAATGGGACCCCACAACTGGATATTATATGCATATAGTACATCGCACAAAGGTTTTGTCTACAGCACCCACTCGGCCATATGGGATACATTGTTCCGATGGCAACAAAAGCCTCGGGGAATTGATTCGGTTTCGAGTCAGATCGCAGATGTGATAAATCTTATGATTTCAATTAATTTTTGTGCAAGGAGCGAGGGGGGCGAAGTGCACTCATTATGCCAACTTGGTTAATGTGTCAGTGGAGTTTATAATGATATACACAGAATATGTTTTAATTTGCAGCTAATTAAGCCCGGCTATGAACTTTGATTGATTCGGGGCGAATCGACTGGGAATTGTGAATAGCGAATTGCGAATAACAAATGAATGGAAATGAATGAGATGTTCAGCGATTCGAAAGGTGATTCAGTAATTAAGAACTCCACTTCCTTGTGGGTGGATTTTTTTACTTTTTTACTCATAACAACGCCTTGCCTTAAATTGTTCATTTCTATGTGCTAGCTGTGAGCACTCTACTTTTCTCATCTAATTACCATTGATTGACTGAACTTTTTGAGGCACACTCCTCTCTGTTTCCGTTCCCCAAAAGGCTATAGTAGTTTGATATTAACACGTGACTGCCATACATTGCATAAAAAATCCACAAGATGTCCCCTTATTTTATGGCCGTTAGCATTTCCTACATCCTCTGCCACTAACATCAATTTGGCAACACCTTTTACTTTCGTTTGGGCCACGAGTCCAGCTGCCGCAACACCCACAGTGACTCAAAACCCACATTCAGTTATATACTGCGACTCCTGAGCAGGCTCATCCATTTTAAGCCAGGCCATAACATAAAAGCGCCCATTAGCCAAATGGGGGAGGATCCCCCGGGGGGTTTTGTTAAGGGGTTTGGGGGTAGCCAAAGGGGGGACAGCAGACGCCATCACTCGTGCCCGTCTGGTAATCGTGACAGACATTTGGCCAAAAGGCGTAGCAGGGGGATATGGCCATCTACCAGAACACTTAAAGAAAAAGTCAAAACTTATTTATTAACGAATTTTAAGAGGGTTGGTCCTAACATGGTCTGGGAGATTTATAGAGAAACCTTGCAAGCAATAGCAAAGCGGCATCATCATTGTTGTTCATCACTTAAGTTGTAAGTTATCGTTGTAATCCTAAAAACACTTTCTCGAAGTGTACACCTCCTTGAACCACCGAAATCGAAAACCGAAAAAACGGAAAACCGCGAAACAGGAACCGTGGCTGGGCTAACTAGTCTGCGATGCTGGCCTGGTCTACGATCCACATCCACATCCACATCCATGGCAAAATGGTATAATGGTAAAATGGCAAAACTTTTGGCCAGACGTGCGCCTGCTTTGCATACAACAATATGCGACAAGACAAGACAGCCGAACACAAGACAAGCTGGCTAAAAACGGCGACAACTATAATTAAGCTTAATTGCTGTTTAGTGCGAGTCTGAGCAACTTTTCGCAGTTGGTTCCCCCTTAAAAAGAAGAAAAATAAATAAGAAAACCAACAACAGAAAGCGACAGACGCCCACGCACCACTTCACGTATAATTAAATTAAATTTATAATGCGAATCTCAACGCGATAAATAAGCCTAACCAGGTGTTTTTCGGGGCGCAAGGGGGGTGTGGCTCTAGTTATCTGGGTAATTGAAAACTTAAAGCGCACTTATCGCTCACTCTCATTGTTTTTCGTGTGTCGGGGAAATTAATTAGCAATTAAAAATGCAGCTCACCGCGATCAATGGCTAAATGCCACAGAGCCACTGGCAGCCACAATGCACGGGTCTCTCTAATCTGCTGGAAAATAATTCATATTTATAAATAGACAAACATTATTCAAAGTGTCCGAGCGGGAGCCCGTGGCCCGAGAACCGTAAATTAAATCAAAATCAAAATGAAAACGATATGGTCTTATGCCCAGAATTTATAACGAAAACAAAAGCCAGAACGGAGTGAAATCGAAAATACAGAAAGGGGGAATTCAAGGTGGGAAAAGAACGACAGAGGAAATGCTCTTAAAATATTAGGAATATAAACTAAAAATTCTTATTTAATAATGTAACCAACCAAATAACCTACTTACCAATTTATCAGTAGAATGGGTTAATACTAAATTCCGATTTAAACTGGGTTAAAAATGCCAGAAAACCACTTTCAAAAACAGAGTAGAGTAGGATTCTCACAACCTATGATCATTTTCTACTTTACTAATTGCTTTGGTTAATAAATCTTGTGCCTTGTCTTTGTTAAGCCACCCCTAATCACCTATTCAAGACACCCTTAGCAAAGGGTACTCAAAGCCATTTGGCCAGTGTCCGCCCACAAAAAAGCGTTGTTAGCAGTTGGGAAGTTGGAGGTTGGGAACTTGGCCGCCGTCCGTTGGTCTTTCATGTCCGTTTCTGGGCTTTTCAGCCCGGCTAGTTACTCAATGCAGCTGCAGTTGATCGACCGATCGATTCGATCCGAACTGCAAGCTGAAAACTGAAAACTGAACATGGCAAACAGTAAACAGAAAACTGAAAACGGTTGCTGCATTTGGCAATGAACTTTTCGCAGCGAAAAAAGACAAAACGTCTAGACTGCGCTGCCAATGCGCTGGCAAGCTGACTTTGAACTCGGTCAAGTCGAGACACATTTGCGAAACTGTTTGCATATTTAATTGAACACCTACAACTACAACAACAATAAATGAGCTGCAGCTGCGGCGAGATCGCTTTCGCAATAATAAGCATAAGCATAATAATAATCAGGCGCAAACAGGCTCAATGGGCCAAAAAGTGGCCAACGGGCGAATGAGCCAAGTCGTGCTTGGCCAAAGCCAAATGACCATATTTACCATATTAAGCACCAATCCTATCCTTCGGTGGCAACCTTGGCGGCTTCAGTGTTGCAGAGTGAGAGGATCTAACACTTTGGCTGGCAACCCTAGTCTTTAAAGACCCATTTACACGATCTGACTTCGCATCTGAATTTTATGCTTGGTCAAAAAGCTTAGCTAACATTTTAGACATCATCTATTGGTCTCTTTAATCCAATGCTTGAGGTACAGAAGAGGGCAGAAGAAGAGGGTGTAAATAGGCCTTAAACAGCTGATTTACCCACACTGCTTGCACTCTATGCCAGTGTTGTAAAGTCAGTGCTTCTCCCGAGAACTTTCAAGGCAGAAACTTTGGGAAAAGTTAATTCGCTTATTTAAATACAATCCCAATTGGTTCAAAACCATGTCCCAGGAAATTAGAAGAAGTGAACGCCTTCGTCGTCTCCAAAGGCAGAGACCCACTGCTAGCTTAAACGCTCGTGTTCTCTTCATACTGGACTCAAGTCCTAATTCATCGCATGGGAGAGGAGCTTCCGAGGGATCCAGGCCACATATCCAGATCATTTCTGGTCCTTCACAATCCAATAGCACGCGTTTCATGCCGCTGAATCTGTCCAATCCCCGGTCAATGGTGCAGTCCGTCTTGATGGCAGCTCCAACCGCCTCGCCTCGCATTCCTCAACGGGTTCGTTACACATCTATACCGCAGTGGACTCCATCCCGACGCGCTCGTATCAGAGCCTACGAAGACCCGGACAACATTACAGGAGTCCTACTGATGGCCATTATCGTGAGCCCTTCGATGGAGAACTTCATTCGACTCAATCCCAACAGAGCGATGTCCCTAATCCTGCGCATCGCCTTCTACTTTCTGTACTAATTCGGAAAAAATAAGAAAAGTTTAATAAAAAATAATTATTCAACAGTCAGAAGCTTGCTTAGTTGCCTGAACCTTTCCTGTCAAAAGTCACCCTGACAGTAGTCATTCTGACAAAGGATTTTCAGGCATCAAAAAGTAAAAAGCACAAATTATATCTGAAATTCTTTGAAAATCATGACCGATAGACCACGGCGCAGTGAGCGCATACGCCGCATCCAGATGAGGGCCCAACTCACTAGAGTTCTCTTCCTGGTGGACTGCAGGACATCGGCACCAGTCCGCGGAAGGTATCCCCCCGAGCTTCAGATTCTGGATGGAAATATGCCTTCGGGTCGCTTCCGGTATCTCTGTGTTAACTCGCCCAGTCCGGACTCCGTTGTTGATGCCGTGCTGCTGCCAATGACCCAACGAGTATTACAAACTCCTATGCCTAGTCGGATTAGGTACATCACACATAGTCTTACGTACCCGCCATCTGGTACTACTATCAGGACCACGCTGAGCCTTTATGGCACTGTCCTGATGGCCATAGTCGTGACTCCAGCGATGGAGATCCTGTTAAGAGATAATCTTACCGAGGCGATCGATTTAATCCTGCGTGTGGCCCAATTCTTCGTTTTCTAAGCACGGAGCACTATTTAATCTCTTAAAAAATTCACAAATTTATATATTTTTTCTGTTGATATTCTACTGTTTGTTAATTAAAAGAACACTCGCACGTTTTCATAACTTTAATCATAAATAAAAATGTAAGAACTCTACTAAAAATGGTTAGAAGAACGTTCTATTTTCCGCAGAGATCAGCCTGACGCTCAATATTCTGTCTGTTAGTTTTCTATTGAAAGAAGCAACCTTTTTTATATTATTATTTGTTAATTAATAAAGTACAATCTCTCTTTTTAAACCATATTTTCATGTAGCCTTCGAACAATGTCCAACTTAGAGAAGCGAGTGCGGTGGCACAATGAACAATCGCTTCCTGCTGCCGGCGACCTGGACATCACTCTTCATATGTCAGGCGGATTGTCGTTTATGAGCTCGATACAGATGCTCGATGTGTGGATACTGAAGGCGGAGGAGCCGTTCGATGCCCGCGTGGTTACTTTTGATTAATTGTGGGGCACGCGACGATGCGATGCCAATCGGCTGGCCCGAGTGACAAAAATCAATGCAACTGCAAATGTGTGAGATGAGCAAGTGTGGCAAAGGAGGCGAAAAGGGACGAACGTGACAGGAGCCATAAATCTTGGTCGACCCCAGAAGTCGGAGATGTCACGGGGCGACTGGTGCCCACACAGAGTCCCTTATCGGGGGCCAAGTATCGGGTCTTCTGGGGAATGTACTCACAGTACACGATGGGCAATGGCACCGAACGGAAGTTGGCCACAATCAATCTCAATTAAACTGATAGCTACTGCGCGGAGGAGTCGCCTGTTTGGCTTATATATTCCATGAAGGCATGTAATGATGGCGAGGTATTTAAAGACAGATCGGTTTATAGTTTAAACCTAAACCCCTATCAAAAGTTACATCTGCTTACATATTTATAATTTTGCTTATTTAGTTTTAAACAGACCTTTTAATGACCTCAAAAACGTTTAAGTTGACGTACCATAACTTAGGCCCAAAGTACGGCCAACACCTCTGCCACATTCGAGTGACAATCTAACACTCGCAACTAGCTCTTTAAATTGCGCACATCCGCTTGAGAGCTGCAAAGGAGCCGCAATAATTTACAACAATATAGCGCGAATAAACGCGACCAGGGGCGTGGAAAGGGGGGACCTATTGGCCATAAACTGAGCCAAGAGCACGCGTAATTTGGCCAAACATTTCCATTTCCATGCAAATGGCAGCCAGCGAGCGGCAAATCAGCGCCCATGAAAGCAATCGCAATTGCGTGTTGCACAATCGTTGTGAGTTGAAAATGGGAAAAAATACAAAAAAAAAGAACGAAAATAAAATAAAAAGACGACAGACAACCTGCAGCCTACACAACCCAGAAGAATCGAGAACCCAAAGCCCAGAGAACATGACATCAAATGGCAAACAAAGACCAATTACATGGAAGAAACAAACTTAAAGACAACCTGGGAGGATTTTTAAGGAAAGTCGAATGGTGAAATACCCTCTAAGAAGTTAGAGAGTATCAAGAAGTTAGTTAATTAAAGAATTTGAATAATCATAAACACACATTGATACTCTCTTTGAAGATCATAAAGATTTTTAAGTAAAGAAAAGTAAAAATTTATTAAACAAATTTAAAAAAGCTTTTTGGTTACAATAATTTCTACCAAAATATCCAACAAAGTGTCTATACCTCCATCGAAAAAAGTGTCTCAAAGAACTTCAAAACACATGGCACATGGGCGGGCAGGCGAAAAACATTAGCCGAGAAAAACTAAAGAAAAAATGGAAACCGGGGCCACATTAAAGCCCACGAACTGAGTCACCGTGGAAGATGCGTTGGTCGTCGGATTTCCAGGCGCAGTTATAGTCAAACTAAAACTGGAACCCGACATCGACTGTTGCATGCTAAACGTTGCTAAATTCAAGAGCGACCAACATTTATCACACTACGCCTATCGCCTATCGCCTTTTTCCTGGCCCCCTTCACGTCGCTAATTAATGATAATGTCAGGAACTAATATGCAGAGGGACCAGGAATCCTCCTCCGCCCGCCAGCCAGCCAGTCAGCCAGTTTATCATCAGTTAACGTTTTCATTAACCATATGTCACACGCACGTCCCTCGCATTTTCCAACCACCTCGATTCCAGCCCGCGGATCCTTGAAAATTAAATTATGCGCTCGGGGTCGCGTGTCCTGCCACGATTTCTGCCCAACTTCGGATGACTCAAAAAACATAAAAATGCATATGCACTGGGAGAAAGTGAGCTGAGTTTTCATTGCTCAGGTAAATACTTTTTGCGGATTAGTTTAAGGTTTTAAGATTCCGAAAAAAGTCATTTTTATTAAAGTATAAATTATCTTAAGTATAAGGATTGATTGATTGATTTGACATTCTTTATATACTAAAAATATTTCAAAATATTTTCCAGTGTCCTCCCTGTTTATCTTGTAGATACCATACCCATTTCCCATAAATATTTCGAGGATTCTTCGCTACAGTTTCGGCCAGTTGGCTCGTGGCCCGGTTGGAAAGGTGTTAAAATTGTGCCACAAAATTGTTTGACCTCTGGGGTTGTTTTTATGACCGTCTGACTTTCCGATGGCACATGGACCCATGGCAGTTTGGGCACCCTATCCACCTCCGATTTCACTGTCAAATGATTATTCCGCATTTTGTCGACACTGAAGTTTATGTTTTTTTATGAGGCTCGTGCCGGCGGACTTGAAAGGTGGGCAGAGTCTTTACTCCAGCGAAACACGCAATATCCCAACTAAGGGTTACGAACTACACATATTCCTTCTGGTTTACAAACTGTGAAGAGCTGAATAATTAAATGGGAACAAAAAGGTGAGGGAAGACATGTGTGATTTGAAGAGGTTTAGCTACTTCCTATATGCCATATCAATTGGTGAAATCTTAGAAAGATTTTGGTCTGTAAAACATAATTAAAGTTATTCTAAGCTAATACCAGATCAGTGGCCATCCATTCTCTGAACTAAAAATAATTGAAAGTTAATTAAAAAGATCTTAAAAACCTGTATGCTTTGATTAGGTTGTAATAAGATGACCCCTGAAATGGCAAACAATGGGATTTGCGCAATTTCGTTTCGCGTGCCTCCCCGTTGTGTGGACCTCTTAACCCGTGCGGCACTTTTAACCCACTAAGCCGGTAACCCAATTTCCTAACAAAAAAAAAGAAAAGCGAGTACCGAAATTTGCACATCACGCCGCCGCGTACTTCGCCTTCAATTAGCCCAAGAAACTCACGCGCCAAAATTGGCAGTCTGGAGTTGCGTAATCGGTGGATTAGCTGATTGATGGATTGGCCGGGGATCAGAGAGCCATTTGGATACTCGTAGGCTAATTCAATTGCTTTATAATTGAACTAAGGAGGCGCGACGGCCGACTCCGATTCAGTTTGGAGCGCTTTAATGAGGTAACTCCATTTCCAACCAAAAGGCCGAACACCACACATGCCGCCCAGCAGGTTTTCTGGCTTTCGAGCCAAGTTAATAATCTAATGGACACGTTGTAATTTTTTCCATATTCGAAATTGCCCAATAATCGATTCATCCGATTCGATTTGGACTTGGATTTCAGCAGGGGCTACAATTGAAAATGAAATTTAATGCCGAATTAATGGGTGAGTTTGTTGTGAAGTCGTTTTGGTGGAAGTGATGATGCGGTCTTTTGCCCGATGATGGATTGCCCCCCCACGCTAATTAGCCATAGCCCAATCAGACCCCGACTACGACTACTTCGGGACTACCCAATTCAAATATAATTCCAATCAGACAAACTCCAATTTATTCGAGGTCCGCGCATAAAAAACACATTCATAAGACAAGCTTAAAATCTGTGTCCTTTGTTTAATTAGTGCACTGAAAAATTAGTCGAAAATAAAATCCTGGCGGAATACTTAAGCGGATTAAGCGGCGATTTATCAAAAGCAATTAAAGATCCCCGAAAACCGAGAATGCCCCTTCTCGGTTTTTGATTTTGATTCGCGGAATGCGTTAGCGATGACAAATAGTAGCAAAAATGTTGGGCAACAAAATGTTTATAATGCTGCTAAAAGCATGTTTGTATCTCGCAGATACAAATCGCAGATCTCCAATCCGAAAGCCAAATGCCGCAGTTCGCAAAGTGGGCCAAGCAGGCGGACTAGTACAGTAAAATATCGCAAAAGTGCACCACTTACTCTACTTAATAGCTGACTAAAATCTTTGCCCCATTAAATAACTACTTAAAACGAATGTTTTTATGTTTGCTGAACAAATTTGAGTTTGTTTGCATTAGTTAATAATTTGTAGGCCATTAAGTTTTAGTTTCTTATTATCTCTTGAGTTTATAGTCTTAGCTAGTTAA